ATTTAATACTAAATGATATTTATTGTAAGATTTAATACTTATAATAATAGTTTCTAAGTCAATTTATATCTATATACCATGTTAGCCCTACTGCTTTCTAATTTGTCTAAAAAAAAAAAAAAAAAAAAAAACAATTCTAAAATATATAATACTAATACTAAGATAAAAGATACTAAACAAAAATCATTCTTTCAGTATTTTTTTTTAGCTAGTTAAGCGCAGCAACACCTTGTTCTATCCAACTTTTTAGACAGAGTGATGCACGCACAGTCTGAGGATCAAGACGGTTGCGAACCTTGGTGAGTGTTCCTGCTGCAGTAGAGAAAGCTTTTTCGCAAGGTACGCTTGTACTTTGAATTGCCAGATAGTCACGCGCCATTTTCGCAAGTGTTGGATACTTATGTTCATTTTCAGCCCACCATAAAAGAGCATTATTTTTAATAGTCGTTGGTGTAGACAAATAATCTTCCAATTCTTCTATTAAAGGTTGTTCGATTGTTTGTTGTTGAGTTAATAATGACTCAAAAAATTTTCTTTTATTTTTAGACGCTGATTTTAGGGTAGGTGTAGTGGTAGTTGCTGTAGGAGTTTGCGAATTATATTGAGACATTACATTTCGTAGACTAGTTAGAGCAGCGTCTTTTTGATTACCAAAGGGAAAAGTCATAAGCTTAGATGATAGGTCGAGAATTGAGGCGATAGTAGTTGATTCTTCAAGGATGGACTAATATTCATTTAGCTTAGATCTAATAGCATCTGCCATTGTATACTGTTCTGTTGAGTGTAGTTCGCCGTCCATAAACTTATTAAGATGATGGAGAAGTCCCAAAAAAGTTAAAAGATGTCAGAAATAGTTGGATAGGAGCTTGACGATAATAATTCTGTTGCGATGAGCATAGATTCTAATAACTCAACCATGATATCTTTAACTTCCCATTCCTTATCGTTAGGATAAGCACTTTCGAGTTGTTTTTTATGCACAGTTACAAGTAAACTTAATTCATTACGCATTTTTTTAAATCTATGAAGCATGCTATAGGTACTGTTCCAACGCGTGCTTAAAATAATGTGATTAAAATAACAAAAGTGAAAGTAAATAGTAAGTATTTATGATACAAATTAAATGTTTCGAATACTATTAAATTATTTTTTATGCTTATCTTACATCAACCATTGGTTTAATATAATTTTTTTTGTTGATCTCACAAAATTGATGGAGTGCGTCACATAAAACAGTTGAGTTCCTAACTTTATTAACAAAATTTCGGACCTTTTCAATTACTAAAATCTTAAGTTGCATTCCATGATTCACAGCTAAATTAAGAGTATGCGCCGAACAGCAATGGTGACGAAACTTTTGTACATTCCAATCTTGCTACATTAGGCTTCCACATAGTACCATCGCAGAGTAGTTATCAGTGGTAAGTGCAATTATCTTATCACTAATATTCATAGCGTCACAAAGTTCATAGAGCTTTTCTTTCGTACGTATTGCAGTATGATTATGCTCAAAATGGATAAAGGCCAGTAATAACTGACGCATTTGCCATTTATCATCAATGTAATGAACCGTGACACAAAGATAGGCCTGGTTGGAAATTGAAGTCCAGATATCCGCAATAAGGACGACTTTGCTGGTAAGACTTCTGAGTTCTTTTGCGACAAGATCATACCGAGCTATAAAGTGACACATTATCTCTTTTTTTATATACTGACGCGATGGAGGTTTGTATCTTGGGTCAAATGTGTTTACCATTTTTTGAAACCAGAGATTTTTAACAACTGCAAATGGGAGCTGGCAACAAACTACAAGATTTAAAACAGAATTTAAACCCTCTTTTTTATGTCGAACATCTCCTTTACCATACGGTTTTTGAACTAAGTTGTTTTTTTTAAACTAAGTTCTATATCATGCTTATTACTAAGATGGTTACTTAAAACACCAGTAGTTGTTGTAGGGCTAAATTTCTGTCCACATTTTCCACAAATTCTCGCGATAACTTTATCTCCTTCTTTTTCCTCACTCATAAAATTCCATACTGGTGATGTTTTATTATGCTTATTACGATTTATACTAAAACTATCTGATAATTCTTTTTGTTGTGATGACATTACGGTAGCAATTGCCTCACCTTCTACATCATTAAGTGAATCAGATTCCTCCTCAGAAGTAGCATCGCAAAGGTCAAATTCATCAGAAGTAGTGTAGCAATCAGACATATTAAGGGTAAAGCAAGTATGTTATAATTTTGTTTGGAATTTTTGTTTTTTAATAACTGAATCGTTTCTTTTTATAATCCTTAGACGATTAAGATACAACATTATGCTGTATTATAAAAGATGTGGTAACAAAGACATGGTGTTTGTAAGTAGCATTTTGTTTCACATAATGCAGTATTTGTACGGATGTTATTCACTCATTCTACTAGTTAGTTTTTAATATATGAGCCAATAACTTCACTAATTAAGATAGTTTTTATCGGTTCACTCTTTTAAACAATGCAATTAAGGGTGATATCATTACTTTATTACTATTAATTTATTAATTCAATAAATATTGGTTTATTAATTCATTACGCAATTGTTAAATAATAATTAAATTGAATGAGGATGTTATCAGCTTGACCTGGCTTGCATATTCAACTATTGCAAAAACTGATTGATGAATAGGGCTGAATGAGCCAGTAAAATCTCTAGTCAGTTGGATAACAATTAACTAATTAGCATTAGGCAGATATTTAACTGTCGCCTGCATTAATTAGTACGTTAAGTGCATATAATCTTGAACAGTGTTTCGCTTATTGTCAACCGCAATTAAAAAATTACTGCATTTGTGTATTTGCAAGCAAGATGCAGGGCATAAATTAATATTAATATACTGTATATTTATTAATTAAATAACTAATCTTTAACAAGCTTAATTAGTACGTTAATGACATTGTTCAGAATAACCTTATTATGAACTGGAATAAATTACCATATTTGTATAACAATCAGTGCACCTCTAGCATGCAAGACGAAAATTAATATATCTCTATGTTAATATCTATTATAAACAATTGACTTATGACAATTTATTTTATTTTTAGATAATTACGGTTAAAAAGCACTATATAGTTAGAGTGTCCAGAAATCTGCGGTGGCAGAATCTGTGCAGAATTCTGCTTTTGGTGCAGTTCTGCCTGCCCGAGCAGAAAAGCAGAAAATTTGCTAAAGCAGAATCTGCAAAATTTCCTATTAAATAATTGGTAGGCAAAGAATTCGCACGAAATTATGCATTAGTGTGCGATAAACTATTGGCAAACATAGGCTTTTGTGATAATATTACAATTTCTTTTGTTTGATTTTTTTTGGTTTGATTTTTTTTTTTAAAGTATTATTTATACTTCACCGCAGAATCTGCAAAATTTAACAATAATCGCAGCAGAATTTGTTAGTTAGAGCAGCAGAATTCTGGACACTCTATATATAGTGTTCATTATTGAAATCAATAGAGGTTAATAACTGTACAGAAGAGAAGTAAATCGAGTCAACATCATAAATATCAAATAAGCTAGGATACATTTTTTGAAGTTTTTAGCCAAATGAATTTTCAAAAATCGCTGAATCAATTTTAGTCAGAGTTATATTCTAATTTTAATTGATAGGTAAGTTTGTAATATGTACTCCTGACGCACTTTTGACGCAAGTGTGGCTGGTAACCTATGAAAAAACCTGTAATATAATAAGTAGGTTCATAGTTTCAACAATAGGTAATTTCAATAATGAGTGTATAATTTAAACAGTACGGTTTATGACTTCAACGGTGGGAGAGTTTATGAATATTAACAGTGGCTTAGTTTATGTTTTAATAGTAGTAATTTCAGCTGTAGGTAGTTGGATTCATGATTTTAATAGTTTTGATTTAAATAGATTTATATGAGTTTATGATTTATTAGTGGATGGGTTCGCAATTTTAATGGTGATGAG